CCTTCACAATTACCACTCATTACCATTCTACACTGCAGACTTAAGAGGATTTGACAATTTCAGCCAACCTTTTCAAAAGGCACTGAAAGAACATATCCTCTCTCAGTAGGCTATGGGCTCCAAAATCCCTGCCCTTCTGCAAGGCCATTAACCTCCAGGTGTGCTGTGCCCTGACACCTGTCTCCCCTGTCCCATCTTCACACATATGTGATGGAGGTAATTTTGGGTAAATTGTGGTTAAACCCTAAAGCTGAAGAGCTCTAGGAAGCAAAAGGAGGCCCCAATGCTGTCAGCCTGTTTAGAATAATGTGATCACTGCAAACAAGATTCTGGTAATAGTTTGGACACATTTACATACACTTAACCTGGGAAAAAGCTATGTCTGTCAGTAGAAAAGATCTCTTTCTAAATGCATGAATTATTTTTATTGTGTTTTATGAAATTATACATTCTTCTCTAACTGCATGTTTATGTAAATGTGCAGATGTAGAAATACCAAAGATACCAGATTAACAGAATACATGTGCATTATTAAGCTAAAATCCAGGTGTCTTTATGACAGTGACAATTATTTAATAAAATCATCATGCTTGTATTTAACCTCAGCATGTATTATAGCCGTAACTGTATTTTGTTAAGTTTTGGTCTAAGCAAAAGAGTTAAAACGCCCATCTGAAAATTGTCCAATCAGGTTTTTTTTGCTATGGTGTCTAGGTGGATACAACCAAGCTAGCCCTCCCATTGGATAAGCCTTCAGAAGCTAAAGGCCTTGCCTGTCAGATTAACCAAAAACCTAATTAGGAATTGACAGTGGAATCAGCCAATCACATTTTGATTTAGACTCGGAGGGACTCTTTGCAAGAGGGAAAAAAAGTCTCTCTGGGCCTTCGGAAAGTCTTAGACACACTAATGCCTGTGAACACGAGTGCTGGCCTGATCAAGTTTCAGTCAAATGTAAGATATCAGTTCCATGCAGGACTCTTTAATGAAGGAGTCATAGTTTGACTGTAATGACATAAAATATATGTTAATGTTACAAGCTTAAAATAAAGTATATGAAATGTTTTTGACAAGCTTCACATGCCCATTTTTTTCCTACAACAGGCAAAAAAGTGAATGTGCATCACTGTTAGCTTAGTGCTAACATACTATTAGAAATCTCATAAAGATGCAGGTAAAAATTAGCATTAGTGTAAAAGTGTTTTCCCATTTTTTGATGTTTCGTCATTTGTAGTCTGAACTTAAGGCCTAGCTCTAATAGCCATAGATCGGTACTGCTATGTGATATGTCTTAAAATGATTAGATTTGAGCCTTATGTACATCTCAAATGGCCTAGGTATGACCAATCCGGACAGTCTCTGCCATTGCCATTGTTCAGGATGGCCATTTATGTTTAACAGCTAAACTGTCAACATGTATGTGTGAATCCTGTTTTTAGGATGCTGCTCAAATTTATTAGGCTAATTTTTTAGTTAAAAAAAGACTGAAGAGGTTTTTGCAGTTTTGACGATGATTTTAACAGTTTTTGGAGAGTGGGAGAGAAAATATGAGGAGTCAGAAAGGACTGTTAGGCATTACATTAGATTTTCAGCATTAGCTAATAACTGCCACTTCTCTAAATTGTATTCTATAATTATGTTTATTCTGTATCGAATGTTGCAAACTGAGACAATACACTGTTTCAGGAAAATCTACCCCAAAGAGCCAGCACAGTAAATTCATTATGTATGTATTAAAATGGCACAAAGCATATGAATATAAGGATGAATAATGTATGAGAGGAATTCAGCTTTGGGCTAAGTAGTGATGTGAGCCAATAACATCTGTGATTGCTTCAAAAGTCTAAACCTACTTTATATATCACACTAGTTAATGTTAATTTGGCAGTGATGAAGGGGTTTCTAATAGGATGGCCTGTCTGGAACTTGTAAAGGCTCATATCAAAACAAAAGGAGGTCTAGAAGTGTACAGTACCAGAAAAAGAGTCAGATAAAGATATTTTCTGTTACACACCAACTCACACATGTTACTGATAATCAGCCCTCACCTTATTAGGTCATGTTGCAGGTTCCGCTATTATGAATTGTGTGTGTTTTTGTTTGGTTTTGTTAAAGCGCTGCTGTCAGAACAACACCTCACATCTCCAAAAGGGTCACTTTACAGGAGAAGGAAAAAACCTCTTAACTTTTAATTGAAGTTAATATACAGCTTTTGAAATTGACTGAGTTTAAGAGATTAAGGTTATGTTTATGGTTGGGTTTCGGGTTAGCAAATTCTCATAGGGAAATAAAACATAAACCATATTTGTAACACGTGGAATACACAGTACTGTGTGACCGTTCTAGGAACACTGTTCTGTGTTTTTGCCAATGAAAATATTATATAACATTAAATAAAAATAAATATATCGCTGCTGTTGGAGCAAAACCTTGTATCTCCATTTTTGTTGTTTTTCAGTTTTTGACATAATTTGAAAAAGCCTGTTTCCCTTTACATGATGTGCAAATCTCATGATGAATGGACTGAAGGAAATGACCCAAAATGACTTGGAAAAAATTCTGGTTCCATTGACGTACATTAAAAATAAAGGATTAGGGCCAGGGTTAGGGTTAGGTTTTGGGTAAGGTTGGGTAAGGTAGGTTTTGCATAATGGAAGTAACACATTAACAACACATCTACTTAATGTAAGTAATGTATCAACAGTACATCTTCAAGATATTATCCTCAATGTATTCAGATGCTTCACTACTGATACTACACTGATATGTTGTTGATGTGTTACTGATAATCTGTTAAGAGTTTATTAACCATCTACAAAGGACCACTCCACATAAAGTGTTACCAAGTTATCATTTTGGTTTGTTCCGACAGCAGTGATACATGTACAGTAAAATTTAACAAGATTTCTTCTGCTTTTTTAAAAAATAAGTTAATAATGTGTTCAGAAGAATATAGTTAGAAAAACTAAAATGGAAAAAATGGATTCATTAAATTCCATGACAGCAACTGATTCAATTTAATGAAGAACTAATTAGCTGAAGCAGGTATTGGGTTCCAACTGTAAATATTGGACTTCCTCAAAATGAGCTTTGGAATCTAATGTTATACAGTGTTGTACTGGTTAGTGTTCAGCAATGACCTATCAAATTAAAATAAATGAAAACAGCTATAGGTTAACCCTGTTTTTCTCTGATTTGTATGAAAATGTATTTATATCAAACCAATGCTTACTGCACAGATAAATGGTTTTTTGCATTATTTTCTCAGATATGCTAAGACTTTGGCGCAGCACTGTATATGATTAGACATACATACAGTACAAAATCAAACCTCCGTGTTTGTCTGTTCATGTGTTTTTTGGTCTCAAAACGTTGTACAGTACCAAAAGATAATGTACACACAAAAGAGCAAACAGGAGTTTTTTTTCCCAGATCAAATGGCATTCATTGTTTTGTTTCAACACTTGATTCAATCTGTATTTAGGTACAATATACAAGGCAAACAGTTCTAATGGTACATGTAAAAAAATATATGTCATTTTACAATATACATACAGTACCATGTGACAAACGATGCGGTGAGAGAATACAACATAAATGTACATCATAAGACATTCTCTTCACTTAAAGACCTATGCAGCACACTGACTGAGATGTAAGCTGTCGTAAAGGTAGTGTTTGTACCTAGTATATCAAATTACAAACCAAGTACAGTACAATGCCGCTCGAGTTTAAAGCAGACGGTTTGGAAACAAGTAATCAAACCTAAAAAAAACAAATTACAGGCTTACTGACAATGCGATATTTCTTCCCTGCTTCATGCACTGCTGAGTGATGTGTTTTTATGTGTTACATTATGAAGCCGACCAAAACCTTCCAGTAATCGCAAATTTCAATTTGAAGCCCAACCCGGCAATGCCTCTGGTGTCTGTCTGAAAAAAGGACCTGTGCTTTGCTTCTGAGAAGAAAAAAAAAAAGAGATATTTATAAAAACACTTTTTGTGATAATAACATGCCACGCACTTACACTGAAGAAGCATTCATCCAGAGAAAAAACACCTTCACCTCACATGATCAGGAAATGAGCCATTTGATTCTCACACCTGGGTAACGACGTGGGTGGGGAGACTTACCCCTACCATGCTTACACTACAGCACGCCTAGTTTTCAGTGGAACAGCAATACGTAAATAGAAATGTAAACAATTATCTTGTTATTGCATTGTTAATTTGTCATATCTTTCTTTTTCCATATAGGGATGGCTAATTTGACTGATTATAGCAGACATCAGGCGAGTGAAGCACTGAAGTAGCTCCATCTGGGTGTTAGATAAGAGAGTGCTCTACACTAGGGTGGCTGGTGCTGGTGTAACTTTGGACAGAGAGAGAGAGAGAGAGAGAGCCAAACAAAATCCAATTTACTTGGGTAAAATTGTGCTGAGGCAAAAGAGGGGCAAAAAGAAAGAGAGGAAGGGAGAACAGGTCCACCTCATTCGTCACTGTACCGTTCAATCACGACCCTTCAGAAGATGGGTGAATAGAAACACTGTGTTGTGGTCCATGCCTCTGAAGGAACACACTGACAAATTACACACTGCAATCTCAAAACACTAGTCTAAAGGTGACCCTCCAGGCCCAAGGTTGATTGAATAAATGACATTTCTTCAACCACTCAAGAGGGAGACAATATGAAGTGCTGTCGACTAAATTCATGCCACAATACATTGTATATTCAATGCTATATTGACCATGTGCTTGCTGACAGGAAGGTATGATAAGGAAATGGTTCAGAAAGAGCGTGTAACAAATGAATACATCAAATAACTCCACTTTGATGTTTACAATTTGTAAAGCAGCAGCTTCGGCATATAATGAGCATGTAACTGGACTTCCCAAGGCTATGGTGGAAAATTCCACTGCCAAGCAATAAAACCTGGAGAGTTAAGCTGCTGAGGTTTTCAGCTGAAGAGATATGGAGTAACAACCTGAAGGAAAAAAAAAAACTTGAAAATGTTCTCATTCATGAAGAGTTGCGGTCTAAGTCATCAGAAAAATATGAATCTTAAAGTTCAGTATGTACTTCCTATATATACTTAAAGTCTGAAGCAAAACGAAAGAGTTCTTGGATATAAAAAATGAATAAATAATCTAATAAATAGAAAACTAAATAAATAGATAAATAAACAAAGCAAACTGGACAATTGATTGTTGTGCCTTCATGTGATGATTATTGTAACGATCCACAGCAGTCCTTACTGACTTGGAGGCTGTGTAGTCCACAGGCTGATACTTCTGATGATCAGCCATTCCTTCTGGCTTGCTGTGACCACAATGCGAACACATTCGATATCAAAAGATATCTTATGATCCACATCATGAACCTCAATGTTCCCATTTTTAAACTCTCCTAGTGTGATGTAGGAGGAGCACTGCCTCCCTTTCTTCGTTCCTACCAGTTTCTCGCCAACTTCCAAACGCTCCATGATGCAAAATATCATTCTGTCGATCATCTGTTCCAGTGGTGATCTTAATTTTACTGATTTTCGTGGCCTTGTTGAACACTATGACGTAGAAGTCTCCAGTGGAAGGAGCCTTTCCCCAGAAGTATTCATCCACACTACTGTAAGCTTTGGCAGCGTCGTAGCTCTCAAACACGTTTATGTTCGTATACAGGGTGGCAGGTGGGTTGTCTGGGATATCAAGCGAGTCCTCCTCAAAGTCGTCATCCTTCAGTTTATTCTCAGCCCCCTTGTACGAGGAGTAGTAGCCCATGTGCTGGAAAAGGGACGGCTTGAAACGGATCACGTCCTTCTGAGCCAGAAGGCCTCGGAAATGAATCAGGAGCCAATCGCAAGGCATCTCCTGGTAGAACATGAGGAGGAAGTGTGCAAGCCTGGGAAGATCTCGAGAGTGGTAAAGCTTCCCGATGTAGCCCAGCTTGGAGAACTCCAATGTTACCCAATACGAGCCTTCTCTGGATGTGACCACCTTCTTCAAGGCAGTGAGGAAGTTCCGTGAGCACCGTACGTCATCCTCCAGCATCATGTAGAAGTCGGAGAGGTTGGTGCAAAAGTTCAGGAGGAAAGCGTAGTCTACATTCTGCTTGGAGCGGAACCGAACCCGGTCCTCAGGGTCGTTGTAGTTCCTCTTCAGACCATCAAGAGACGGGTAATACTCCTCAGGAGCGTGGATGACCAGTAGACGCCCTGCAATGATATGATGCCCAAATTTCCTGGAGATCTCCTGAACCAGACTTTCACACCAAGCTAGGTCAAAGTCTGCCAGGTGGACCACTACTACAATCTCTTTGAGTTCCTCATAGCTGGACTGGTCAAAAATGGATTTTATGGTCTCCAAAAGGTAATTTCCTCGTTTTCTTTTCACTGATGACAATCCAATAGTTAGATACTCTGTAATAACAAAAAAAGACAGTAAATAAACACTTCATTTAAACACACCCATCAAACCATTTTGCTGCACTCTTAAATGTTTTTACTAAATTCCCTTTTGTTAATTCAGTTTCTGGTTATTTGTTTTTCAGCATCAGGGAAAAAAGCAGAGATACATATAACAGAAATTACACAAAAAGCTCCAACAGTAAGTTTAAGATCAATCCTATCAGGGTTTAACTATGCACCCTACAGCTACTTTTGCGAACCTTACAGATACTTCAACTTTCCATCCTTCCAAATCTTTCAAACCAAAGAGTGACTGCTGTGCCCTATCAACAAAAGCTGTTTCCAAAGGAGTCACTGCCATTATGTTCCCCTTTAAAGAAACGCTAACATCCACACAAGCAGCTGCCCAAACACACCTAAGCTGCCTTGCTAATTTCTCTCTCATGGGCAACCAAGTTATCTGGAGTCATGAGCCTAAATTAGAGACAGCAGTATGCAAGCTGATGAAGCAATGAAAGACTCTTCAAACTATAGCTATAATAATATAACAAGCATGATGGAGGGTCAGTGCAAATTTGGGGATGTATAACAACATCTGGACTTGGTAATGTTTTTGACTGAAGACAGCATAAATGCTCTTAAGAGCAAACAACTTTTAATACCCTCATAGAAAATATTTGATTTTTGAGAAGAAATAAATTCTCTAGCAAGATAATGACCACAATCCAGACCTCAACATCACTGAATGTGTTTGAGATTACTTGGAATGTGAGAAGCAGAAAACTTCTAAGACTGAACTTTTGGGGGTGTGGAAAAACATCCCTGCTGCAGATTTCTTTGAAAAACTGAAGCATGTCCCCTGAAAAAAAATGGAAGGTGTAATAAAAGCAAAGTGGACACACTAAATACATACATATATTTACATTTACAGCATTTAGCAGACGCTCTTATCCAGAGCGACATATATATATATATATATATATATATATATATATATATATATATATATATATGTTGAGTGGTTGAAGTGTAATTTCCAGTTAAATGTGAGTTTTCTGCATTTTTCCAGAAACTGAAAAATGAACTCTTGCACTTTGAATGTTACATCTTAAAAAAAAAATAATAATAATAATAATACTTTTTCGAGGCAAAGGTGTTCCAGCTAGGTAGCGATAGGTCACATTAATGGTTCCAGAGAAATTAGTGATGTCTTTGAAGGTGTGAACATATCTCTCAGAATTTAGCGGGTGCATTGAGGTCTCCCTCAACTGCCGTTTGTCCTCCTCCTGAAACAGACAAGCACATTGACATATATACATATTAATACATGTGCATGGTATATTATTCTATAATACATTACAGTAAAGAGCTCATTTAAATATTCCAAGCACTGTGTCACCTGATGTAATGGGGTAAATATGCATACTGGACTCATCTCTTCAGCACAACGATCAAATAGGAAAGAAGGTGAAAAAACTAGTGCAAGTCTAGAATAAGGAGACTGAGGCCTTTGTCTTTTTCTCCTGTTATGGGGTTTTCTCTAGACAAACCCAACATACTCTTGAGGGCTTTGTGAGCTTGATAAATAGTTGTTTTTAACTACAACATGAATTCTTAAACAGCAGGCTGCTCCTGGTGACGTATGCAACAGACTGTTCTGTTACTCATGTTTACACATGATAACTTAGCAGATTATGGATTCTGTTTTAGATTCTGCTTGTTTATTTGCAATGGTGTGTGTTCATGTTCACTTTTACATAACCAGACTATGGAGGAAACGGAAAGATTATGATCCCTAATAACATAAAGCTATGAAATGTAGCCCAGGCAATTGCGAGCTGCAACATTTAAATCAGCTGGACACCTATGCAAGATCAATTAGCTCTATAAAAGATCTGCAGGCTAAAAGGAAACATACTGTAATATGTTCAATGTACACAAGTAATTAGTGTGTGTATACTAAATTATAATGGCTTAGAAAACTAAGAAACCCAGTTTGTCAAAAACTGTACACCATTAAATAATTCAAAGGACAAATACACATGACATGTTATGATCACAAAGTTTTGATCATAAACTTGCCTTCATAAATACCAAATGAGCCTCTTGCATTTGGACTGCATCATGAAATTTTAAATATGGTACATTTGGAGCTCTGATAATTAGACGTGGGCAACACATAAACAAAATCAATGCATGTAATTACAATAACTTTTTGTCAGGCCTTAGAAATGTGGGGACAACTTTAAACACTTCATAATTCATGCATGAGCATTGAATTACATATTTACAAAGCAATACTTCAGTATTTATGAACAGCATACAATGGCAAGAAACTGAGACAGGAAAACATTCTTAGCTTTTAAAATAAGTTAATGCAAAGAGTTTTTATTCCATGCAGTATTGTAGCATTTCTATTGGTCCATTCATCATAACATTTTTGGACAGCGACTATATGAACCTGTTAGGATTACCCAGATTTTTCTGTAAGTAATTTGTTGTAAAATGTATACTGTTCTTTATCTAAATGACAAGTATAGACAAACACAATGTGCTTAAGCTAATAACACTTAATAATAATCTCTCCTGTCTTTATTATGCACACCAGTAAAAAGTAAAGAAAAAGTAAGAGAATCTTTGGATGTACTAACTGGTTGGACCTCCTTTGGCAGCAATAACCTCAAGCAAGTGCTTCCAGTAGCTGTGGACAAGACCTGCACAATGTTTAAGAGGAATACTGGACCATTCTCCCTCACAAAACTACTTCAGGTCAGTCATATTATTCAGATGTCTGGTGTGAACAGCTCTCTTGAGAGCATTGCAGAGCATCCTGGGCTCTGATTGGGCCACTCTAAAAGATTTTTTGAAGCCATTCTGTGGTAGAATTACTTTGATGTGTAAGGTCATTGTCCTGCTGCATCACCCAGCTTCTGCTGAGCTTCAGATGGTGGACAGCCTCTCTGAAAATGATCCTGTAGGATTCCTTGATAAACTCTGGAATTTATTTTTCCCTTTGACCAACTGCCATCATTCAGAGGTAGCAAAGCAGTCCCAAATCATGATGCTCCCTCCACCATGCTTCATCGTTAGGATTTTCATGTTGGTATACAGTTACATAGTTTCATTAGTCCACAGAACATTTTCCTTATAGTGTTTTGGAGCGTCAAGGTGATCTTTGGTAAAACCTCCAGTGTGCAGCGATGTCTTGTTTTTGGAAAGCATCAGCGTCCTCCATGCCTATTCAATGTTGAACAGAGATGTTAATCAGTTCCAGTGATTCCTTCAAGCCTTTAGGTGTTACTCTAGGGTTGTGTGGGAGCCTGTTCTAGGGACAGTAGACACAGTACTAAGGTATCCCCATTTATAGACAATTTGTCTGTAGACTGATGAACACCTAAACTCATTATGATTACTTTGCCTTTCCAGCTTTATCTCTCTCTTAGGTCTCCTGAGATCTCTTTTTTGTGTGGCAAGATTCGCAGCAGATGTGTCTTGTAAATAGCAAATTCAAAAAAGTGTTTTTTAGAAGTCAAAGTAGCTTTAGCCCACACCTCTAATCTCATTTTATTGTTTGGATTCCATGTTTGCTAACTCCTGACTCCAATTAGCTTTTGTTAAAGTCATTAGCCTAGGGCAGGGGTTGGCAACACAAATGTTAAGAAAAAAAACATTTTGTCCTTTTAACAAAAATCGAACCACCTTAGGAGTCACATTTTATGTTGATTTTACCATCTTGGCTGTAAATATGTCTCAGTGTGTGCTAATGTGCTAGTATAGACTAAAAAATATAATATAAACAAAAACACAAACTTCTTTGCTCTGCTTTAAGCTTTAGCTCAGCTATAGCTGCTTTTCTCGCATCTCCGGCAGGAAACTTTTCCGCAAAAGTAGAATAGTTTCTTGTAAAATTTCTCTCATTGTTCGACTTTTTACGAGGCTGAAGTCAGCTTCTCATTCTCCAGCTTATCATTTAGGTGGAAAATTCGAATGAGAAGCTGACTTCAGCCTCATGACTCTTTAGTGTTTGACAGTTTCTTGTTGCAGATTAAATGTATTAGGAAACCAGCTGGAGTGCTTATAAATGCAAGTCCACTCATCTGCAAATTATTCATGTTCGTCTTAAATCTTTTAAATCTTTTCGTTAGCTACTAGCTAGGCGAGACTGTTGTCTGCATTGCTGTGTGACCAGCAGTCTGTGCACCAACCTTCAGGGTTAAAGGTTAGTGAATTAGCAGTTATAGATTAACTCCAGCGTTTAAGACCATTTATTGTTAAAACTGTGCTAGAATGATCAGCAGAGCTTTATTTTACTACGAAGGAGGATTATTTCATTTTTACCTACAAATCTAATTCTGCTGTGGAACCGCAACAGGGCAGTAATAGAGCCGCATGTCGCTGACCCCTGGCCTAGGGGGTTACATATTTTTTCAACCTACAATGTGAATATTTGAATAATGCATTCAATATGGACAAGAACGATACATTATTTTTCTGATATTAGTTTAAACAGGTTGTGTCTGTTCTTTACTGTAACTTAGATGAAGACCAGACATAAACACAGATAATTCCAAAGGGCTCAAATATTTTTTCATGCCAGTGTATGTCAGTATTCGCAAGATAACAAGCATTATTTTATAACAGACATCAGTTTGCAAACTGTACATACCAGTGCTATGAATGAATTGGTAAGCATTTACTATTTAAAACACGCTTATTAAAAAACAAAAAACAAACAAACAAAAAAATAAATAAATTAATGAGAAAAAGCAGGCAGTATGTCCAAACATTGTAAGAGAAACAATGGTAACAACTGACTTGAATCTTGCTACATAACACTGACATAACTACGCCATAAACATGTCATAGCAGATGTCACAATGTTATGTAATAATGTTATGAGTTGTCATGACAGATTTTATTGAATCCCATGAATAATGACATAAGCTGTTCATAAATACTGAAGTACTGCTTTTTAAATATGTTATTCAATGCTTATGCAACTGTTATGAACTCTCTATGTATGCAGATAAATGAGGAAATTTGCTGACTGCATTACAGAAATCATATGCAAGCATAGCTGTCAGCTGGAGGGTCTGGACAGTCTTCCTAAAATTCTACTACACATCAATGTGCCTCTGAACACAACACGGATATATTCAGCCTGAGCCAGATCAGTCGATTTTCACACTGCACATTTGTGGTGAATAAAAACATCTTCAAGTCTTTCAGCTCAAACTATTTTGCTGTAGGTTACTGAATCCACCATAATTACACTTGCTTGCCTCAGTCATTTGATAGAACGATCTGATGAACAAGGTTCAGGTTTGTATGGCCCTACTAGAGTTCAATATAATGGCTACGCAGCGGCTGTGAAGGTTATAAATGTCTTCTTTTCAGCTGTGCTCTTCATAGATGTGAACTGTAAATGAACCTACGTTTTTTTAAAAAAGATAAGAGTACTCACCAGTACATAACCATCCTCCATGTAGAGGTTCATGAAGAGGAGGAAGGTGATAAGAACCACCAGAAAAGGGATGGTGGAACGCTTCCGAAAACATCTCATTTTATCCAGGTACTTCAACAGAAGCCTCATGATGGGGACGCTACTGCTCAAATCTGTCAGAGGAACAACACAGAGACAAAGCCACATCAGTACTGAATCGCATCACTGTGGTACTGCTGTTCAACAAAAGAACCTTCAAGATCACCAATTTTAAGACTAAGAAAACACTGCAGATTAGACTGAATGAAAGAGATTTGCCAAATATTCTTTGCACTGGAATAAAACTTCCAACTGCACAACAATGATTAGCTCTGTAAAATCAGGTTCTCAGCTAGAGAATATGGCACCGGTCCAGGAACAGTACTGCCCAGTACTGTGTCAGACTAGAAAGTCCAATGGTCTTAGATGAGAAAGCCTAAGACAGTGCTGGGAAAAGGAGCAGCAAATGCCTTTATGAGATGAGGCTTAGCTCTTTGATGCAGAACGCTTGCACAATCATATCGTCAGAGAATTATCCCCAGGCTCAAACAGCATCTTTACAGAAAACAGAGCAGCATCTATTCATTCGTATGTCAAGACATTGACCAAAAAGTGAGTCAGAACAAAGCAGCTACGTCCAAAGCCTCTGTGTTCAGTAATTAACCTGACACCAACCTCAATGTCACATTTAGTGATGGACCAAAACCATGAATGAATGGCATCTACTTGTTGGATGACATATACAATTTTAGATGCTTAAGAAAACCTATTTTTGTTTTTTTACTATTTCATAATTTAGAAAAAGAACCACGTTTAATAAATAAGAACCATATTTAACAACTAAAGTAAACTTAAAATATTTTTATTGTGCAAAATAATTTAAAAAATTAACTGGACAATATACAGATAAGCCTTGTCGTGCATATGTAAGCAAAAAGGTGATAAATGTTGTACATTTAATTTCTTTTAATGATTTGTCTTATACCTACATCCTATAAACTCATACTTACATCTACAGCTGTCGCTGCTGGAGTTCAGTAAATATTAGTCATTCATGTTGTCAGTAGCAGCTACTGAGCAGCAGATTTGCGGCTTGATATGAAGCCAGGCCCTAGACTACATCACTGTCTGATGCAGCTGACCGGCAGAGGTGCACTGCAAGCGGAGCTAGTGGACACGCTACCCTGGTTAGTGGGCTATGCTAAAGGTTAAATCTAGGCTAAAGGCCATCATTACCAGAAGAAACCAGCGGCTTTTCTTATCTCTCTGATGCCCCCTGCCCCTTGATAACAACTTGGACAATTACCTCACACTGTAACTGACTACACAGCAAAGGAGATGAGGGATTACTTAAAGAAGGCTGATTAGCCATTAAGCTAAAGGGCTACCATTAGCGTGTTCTGCACTGTATGTACATTGCATTGTCTGGCTTATTTGAGGGATAGCTGTGAAACTAATACCTTGGGAAGAATTCCAACCAGTATATCACCCACTACTACTGGCTCCCCACGAAATGCTGGTGTTATAGGTTTTGCTATGAGCATTTTTACTACTGCTTGTCATCCCACATACTGCTGTGCATGCAGTATTGTGCCTGCATCAGAAATTCATGGTATCGCTATTCTCTATTGCTGATACTGACACCATGTATGGTAGTGATATCAGTGCAAACTTAGTCACATTCAGTTTATTAGTGATAGGCATTCCAGCTCTTATCAGCCCAGTTCACCAATAAGAGCAAACTCTGTTAGTTCGCAAATGGCTCCTCATTTAATTTAATTTAATAAGTCAAAAATCCTAAGAACTAGTGAGGCACACTTGGAAACACAGCTAAAATTCATATGAAATCTGACTAGAACAAAACCAGAGGCAAACTAAGAAACGTCTGTGGATAACGAGGGGGCATATGTTCCAAGGAAATCCAGGTGGGGGTCAGCTACAGAGCCATAACATCTACTCATTTGTTTTGTCTAGTAGGTCTAACTTACCCAATGTTCATCTGAGAGTGCCGACTCGTTTGCGAACAACACATCACTGCAGTACATTACTAACCTCAGATGAAGATGCTAAGGCATTAGCAAGCTCAATACTGCATATCTCTCAATCTCTTATTAAAGACCATGTGCAGATTGCACACCCCAAAAAAGAAAACCATTTCAATCCATCTAGGCAATGTAGAAATGGAAAAATAGCACTATGAACCAAGATAGGATATAGAGCCCGCTTACTCCCCCAGCACCATGTGGCCATTTCGATCTCAGCAGACTTCATCAGGAGAAGAGTGGACGCAACAGTTATCATCTTTGTGCTGGAAAAAAAAGCCCAAAGAGCTCTGTTATGTGCATCAAGCAAACGCAGGCCATTCTTTTCAGCCTCAAATTACACTGAGTAAGCCAGGAATAGAGATAAAATGAGTGTTTTTGAAGACCCTCGTGTAAGCATCAGCATGGTCTTTTCTACGACTTCTGCTAACCACCAGGGATCACTAATGGAATACAAAATACCTGCATGCTAGATTTCGTGGCCAGATATGTATCGATCTGGCTGACCGCCAGTCTGCTTCATCAGGGAACAGGGCAGTCAATTGCTGCCTGAACTAACAGCAGTTAACACATTCAGACCAAATATCTGAGTTTTTCAACACCTCTATAAACATCTAAAATTACTGACTGCCAAGCACAAAAACAAATCAGCATTTTTTGCAAATATGTTTGCTCAAATGTCATCAATATAGCTGAAAATTCTCACACACTTAGATATCTGTCCAGGCTGTAAGGCTTTAGCCCATTGGAAGCAGCAGTTTATGATTAGCAATCCACTTGCTAATTAACAAACAGGTGCAATGGCCATATTTTTTATGATGTTACTATGCTGCGTTTTGATCTTATTATACAGTTTTGCAAGGGTGGTGTGAGTGTGGCATTAAATATTCATAAGGTTCTTGGTGTAAGACTGCATGAGGCGAGACATTATGTCATCTGCTACCAAAGCAAACGCATGCTGGGTAGAATAACTGTCGTTATGGGATGACACACAATACACCCGATGTGAAAACAATGCCCTCTAATCGTGTATAATTGATCTAATCCAATGATTTAAAGTCTAAGTAATAACTAAATAAATATTTATTTATAAATGTATTAAGTTTATTAATATTAAACTTGATTTGATTGTAAATAAACATACAAACTAAAATTTAAAGCCAAATAAAACAGTAAAAACAGTAAAGAGACAAGATATTTCATGTTTTACCTGATCAACTTAACTGTTTGGAATGTGAGGTCCAGAGTGTATTCAAAAAAGTTGGGACAGCAGCAAAGTAAGACTATGAAAGTTGTGAAATGTTCAAAAAAAAAGATTTTGAACAAGTGATGCACTCATGCTTGGGTATCATAGGAACATCCAGGAAAAGCCTAGTCCTTCATGAGCAAAGATGGGTCAAGGCTTGCCACTTTGCCAAAAAATACATCGGCGAATACCCAAACAGTTTAAAAACGATGTTCTTCAGTGAGCGATTGCAAGGATTTTAGGCATCTCACTCTCTATGGTGCATAATATAAAAGATTCAGGGGATCCAGAGAAATCTCTGTGCATAAAGGGAAAGGCCAAAAACACAACTGAATGCCCATGATCCCTCTGATCCCACTGCATTACAAATCAGTATGCTTCTGTGATGAATATCACCACAGGGGCTTGTGAATACTTTGACAAACAATTCTCAATAAACACTGTTTGTCTCTGCATCCACAAATGCAAATTAAGACTTATTATACACAGCAGAAGCCATATGTCAACAATGTCTAGAAAAGCTGCTGACTTATCTGGGCTTGAGCTCATCTGAAATGGACTGATGCACAGTGGAATGAGTCAGCCTTTCAGACTGTTTATGGAAATAATGGAAAAAAAGACCATCCAGACTTTTACCAGCGTACAATTCAAAAGCCTGTCATGGTATCAGGGTGTATTAGTGCCCGTGTAATGGGTATTTTGCACCTCTGTGACGGCACCACTAATGCTTATATATATGTTAGGGGTGGGAATCTCTAGGCACCTCACGATTTGATTCGATTATGATTCAGAGGGCTGCGATGCGATTATAAAATGATTATCTTTTTTTCTATACGTGATTTCTATTTTCCTACTGTCTGAGGACTTGGTAGTTTTAAAGCAAAGTATTTGTAATGATCCATAATGCATTTACGTCCAATATCTTTTATTAATAAAACAAATGGAAGTGATGTGGCAGGTGAACTGGAAGGCTCTCATTATTTGCATTTATAAGCAGTGCAGTTGGGTTTCCTGGTACGTTAAATCTGCAAGGAGAGACTGTTGCGAAGATGAAGTCGCTTCTCTTTCTAATTTTCCTCTTCCACCTTAAATGGTGCCACTTTTACATTCGGCGCCTCAGTCAGAATTTAAGGTGGAATGGAAAGTTCATCAAGAAGCTGGCGAGTGAAAAGCGACTTCAGCCTCGTAAAACAGCCGAAAGCTCAGAGACATTTTACAAGAAACTATTCAACTTTTGAGGAAAAGTTTTCCGGCGGAGTTGGAAGGAAAGCGGCTGTAGCTGAAGCTTAAAGCAGAGCAAAGTAAATCTGTGCTCTCGTTTATATTTTTTAGTCTATACTAGTACATTATCACATACTGAGACATACTGGACAGTAAATGTTGCGGCTCCCAAGGTGGTTTGATTTATGTTAAAGGACAAAATGGCTCTTCTTAACATTTGTGTTGTGACTTCTGATCTAACCTGGCTTTTAATGCAGAGGCTGTGGGTCGGATTTCTCGCTCATCCAGTTGTGTTTTTGTTATGTGCCACAGACTGTCCGGGTGCTGCACTTACCCACTTCCAAGTTCCGCCCTTTGCGTTCCGTCAACATTATGTTATAAATTAAATATTTAGAAAACTGATTTTTGACATTTGTGAATCGATTCAGAATCGTCCACGTCCGCATCGCAATGCATCTAAGAATCGATATATATATATATATATATATATATATATATATATATATATATATATATACACATTTTGCGACAACATACGCTGACATCTAGACAACATCTTTTTCAGAGATGTCCATACTTATTTGTACATGAGGCAAAGCCACATTCTGCACGTTACAACAGCATA